GTATGCCTTTTCTTTTTGTTATACTTTATTCAAAACTACCCCCCATTCTGAAGTACTAAAATTATATAGATTGAGTTAAGTAATGAAACATTCCCAATAATTCCTTTGAAAATCAGAGTTCTCGTGATGCTACAAAGGTCTCATGAATACTGAAAATCTAGTGTTTGTGGGTATTTACCAAGTTGCAGTGCCCTATCACAGGTGAACCATTCCTTAGTCCTGGGGCTCAGACAGGATTAGGCCATGTTTTTAATCATCACCCTGAATGCTATTTACAGACTTGCCAAGTCCAAGGTTATAGTATGATTTACTAACAGAGTCTGACCCTGTCTACACTGCAAAATCAAACTTATGTTTTAATCTTATGGGGTATTATCATGTTGCAATTGAGTATGCTATTAAGTAAACTTTGCATAATGTAGATATGCCCTGGAGCATCAAGTTTTATAAATTACAGCTTTGTACATTAAAATATGCATAAGTCTTGTAAATGTAAAATATTTATACTTGTCAGTGCTATTAATCTTATTACACCACTATCTTTGGGCATATCTACAATAGGAAATTATTTTGAAATAACTCCCAAAATTACTATTTTAAAATAGCATGTCCACACTATAGGGAAGCCTCAAAATTAGTCTGAGGCAGGCTGCCTTCATATGGACACGCTACCTTGACTAGAGCCCCAGGAAGCACTGAGGAGTAATTACTTTGAATGATTCTAGGGAGTAGTTATTTTGAAATAGCAGCAGGGGAGCGTCTACACAACCACTATTTTGAAATAACCAGCCCCTTATTTCAAACTAACAGGCTTGGTAGTGTGGATGCTCTGCTTGTTATTTCTAAATAAAGGGAGTTATTTCAAAATAACTCCCAAGTGTAGAACAGGGCTTAGATATTAGTGAATGGTGTCTTTTACAAATATGTACTGACAAATGACACTCAGAACACATGCTTTTACAGAAATGTGGTAATGAGTATAGCTTGAAGAGAGTTGAACAAAATCATGTATTTTTACTCACTGAGGACTGTGGAAAACTAAGACCTGACTTTACTTTGTAAAACCATTCCTCGGGTAGTCATGCCTAACAAAAATATTTACACATGCCAAATAATACAAAGATCCATGTAACAACTAGGTATCATACTATTAAAAGTTTCAGACCTGTGTAATGTAGGTGGGTCAACCTAAATCCCGCTGTAGACACAGCAAGGTTGTCATTAGAATTGTTCTGTCAACCCTAGTACCTCTCAAAGGTGATGGATTTACTACAGCACAGAAACTCCTTTGCTATACTGTAGTACTGTTGAGGTGTAATTGTAACTGTGCTGATGTAGAACCTGGAGCGTGGACATACCATTAAAAAAACCACCACTGTTTTAATTTCTAGATCTTTTATTGAGGCTATGTCTACACTGCAACTCTATTTTGGGATACTGCAGTATCCCGAAATAGCTATCCTGTGTCTTAACAGCAAGCCCATTATTTCGTGCTCACTATTCCGATGTCCCTCTAAACCTCATTGCACAAGGCGTAAGGCACATTTCGGAATAGTGGGTTATTTCAAAATTTGGCACTGTGTAAACAGCGTCAAATTACAAAATAAGTTATTTTGAAATAAGATCAAAATAGGATATGCAATTTGCATAGCTCAAATTGCGTATCTTATTTCGATTTACAGTGCAGTGTAGACACACAAGGAAAAAACAACACCTGTGTATGTTAGACAAGACTCTAGTTAAATATTAGCCAGAGTGATGCATGAACTTTATAAAACAAGGCTGTGGTAGGTGGAACTGTATTAGCCATAGAACAATCTGAAAGTCCACTAACTTACAAGAAAAGAAGGATATTTTCTGGCATGTATGGCCTCAAACTATAGCAAAGATGGGGCACTCAAAACAAAATGCTCACACTAATTAAAATATTAGAATGGAAAACTGCTGTCATGTGATGTTTTTTTGGAAGGGAGGGAAAGGAGTAGGTCCCCTCATTTGAATGTGAGACAAGTACTGACTGAATTTAAATCTTTCACATTCCTCCATGGTCTGACAAAGATTTATGTTCTTGACGTTGAGTACTTCAGTAGCCTCACTAACCATTCACGAGTAAAATTAAGTGTAAGAACAATAGTCCCTCTGACCCAGTATTTTCCTGTCTTTTGACAGTGGTCAGTGCCAGTTGCTTCAGAGGGAATGAACAGAACAAGCAGAGTGATCCATCCTCTGTCATCCACTGCCAGCTTCTGGCAGTCAGAGGTTAAGGACAGCCAAAGTATGGCATGGCATGCCTAGCCTAACCCTCTTTTTTAGTAACAGCTACTAAAGGACCTGTTCTCCATGAACTTATCCAAATATATTTTGCACCCATGTGTTTGCAGAATCAAGACCTAAGAATTAGGTGGTTGGGGACTGACCCTCACCCACTTCTTAAAGAACTGAATTTCTGCAAGCCATAATGACTGTTTTTGCCCATCTCTGTCCCTGTTTCTAGAAGATGCCATAAATGGGAATGTACTTGGCATTATCTGTCAGTCCAAAGAAAAATAACTAATGCATATGCAAAACACAGTCAACACTGGAATTGAAGTTTTCTGCTTAAATTCAGTGTATTAAATAAGACATTTCATATAAGGCACTATCTTCAAGTTAGAGAAAAATATTTTTTTTAAAATAAGATCTTATTTCCAGTTCTCTTTAAGCAACTTTAAAGAGAAAACTGTCAGAGGAAACTGCTTTCTTGCAGTTCCTGAGAGTTAAGTTTCTTTACAGAAATGGTTAGCTAACTATCAGAATCAACAGGTGAGACCTAGCGTTTTCTGTAACTTTCAAGCTGATGGGAGGAAGTCCCCTGAATCAGTCAACTCTGTAATTTGGAGGGGGGCAGGGGGAAGCAACATTCCAATGGGAGACTGGGGAACCAGTGACTGTGCAGCAGGGTCTCCCCAGGAAAAGCAGTACAGAGTTGTTCCAGGGTGCCAGTACAAGGGATGGGAGAACACTGCAGTGGTATCCAACAGCTAAAGCTTGGCTTGGCACAGGGTGCCTTCTGGGTTCAAGGGCAGCGCATTCATAGCTAGCTGCTTGTTACCACACCCTACCCGCTCAGCACAATGGGTGACTGGCCCAAGGCTTCCTGCAGGGCGTAGGGAGACTAGCAACGTGTTGGCCCCAAGCTATGCTCACAGTAAGGCGCTGTTGTTGCCTCAGGCTTTGGGAAATGCTGGTTTACTCCCGCCTCCTCCCACGCTAAATTGAAGAAGGCAAGGGCTGCCTCGGGCTGGGCAGTGCTGCCGTAGTTCATGGCTGTCCAGACGGCGCTCAGTAGAGGGGACCTGGGGCGTCGCAGGGGCCGGTGTCTGTGCGGGGCGCTGCGGGAAGTCCCCCGCGGGCGGGGCGGCAGCAACGCAGGGTGTAGTTGCTGCCACCGTTGTTGTCCCAGTACTCGCCCTGCTGGCTGCGGTAGCAGATGGCAAAATGCACGGCGGAGCCCTCCTGCATGCTGGGCGGGGTGCACAGGCTGAAGTGGAAGTGCTCGGTAGGGGGGTCGCTGTACTCGGGGCCCGGCAGGGGCACGGCCACGGCGTCCAGGAAGGAGCGCCACTCGTTGAAGGTGTAGCGCACCGTCACCTCCTTGGGGCCGGGGCAGCTCAGCACCCGCACGATGCCCCGCACATCCAGGGCCGCCGCGGGGCTG